CACACACACACACACACACACACACACACACACACACACACACACACAGTTCATTTGGGTCCTGAAATAATCCAAAGCTTCAAGTGCAAGGAGAAGGCAATCTTGGAAAAAAAAAAATAGCTAGTGGGTATTAATCACTTTGGTATTGAAAACACACTGTGAAATTCTTATCTATGAAGGTCCGTGGCTGCCTGCCCAGTGACTAGGCTACATCAGCCACTACTTAATTGCAGGCATCTTGCTCTGGAGCCTGGCTGTTTGTTCTGATGGGCTTGGAGAGTCAGAGGACAGAAGAGACAGACTTCCATCTCCTCTCCAACTGAAGAAGCATCTTTTTCTTTTCTGCCTCCTCTCTGCCTTTCCTTTCCTCTCTGCCTCCACTTTGGCCACATGGACCCTAATGAGAGGCTAGAAATATTATGGCATCAGGCACATGTTGTCTAGAATACTAAAGGAGAAAACACTGCCCCAGGTTTATTCGTTTTAAGATTATAAACCACTTGCAGGAACCAGCTCTAAATGCTTTAGGCAGCAGAGAATAGTTGGCATAGAACACGTTAGAGAAATTCAGCCAGTTTTCTCTTCTAATTCTTTAAAGGGACTGTTCTCTGCTAGAAAGATGCTTAAGTAATACAGGGTGACAGACAAGTTTCGATCTTGTACATATGGATATTCAGCTTTCTTAGTACCATTGTTGAAGAGACTGTTTTTTCCAACATAGTTTGGGTGCTTTATCAAAAACCAGATGGGCTGGGCACCGGTGACTCATGCCTGTAATCCTAGCTACTCAGGAGGGTGAGATCTGAGGATCACGGTTCAAAGCCAGCCCAGGCAGGAAAGTCCATGAGACTCTTATCTCCAATAAACCACCAGAAAACTGGAAATGGTGCTGTGGCTCAAGTGGTAGAGCATTTGCCTTGAGCTGAAGAGCTGAGGATAGCACCCAAGCCCAGATCACACCCCATGACTGACAAAAAAATAAAAAACTCAGATGGTTATAAGTGTATAGATTAACTTTTGGTCCTTTTATCTATTCTCTTGGTCTTCAGGTTTGTTTTTGTGCCGATACTAAGCTGTTTTTATTTCTATAACTCTGTAGTATAGTTGAAGATTAAAACTGATCCCTCTAGAATTGCTTTTTATTTATTATTATTATTTTCTCAGGATTACTTTGATTCTTTGAGGCCTTTTCTGTTTTCATATGATTTTTAGGATTGATTGCTCTATCTCTGAAGAGAATGACATTGAGATTTTGATGAGTGTCACATTGAATTGATAGATCATCTTTAGCAATATGGCCATTTTCATTTATTTCTGACAATCTATGAATAAAATGTCTTATTTGTATCTATTAATCATATCACTCAAACTCTAATTGCTGTTATGTAAAATCAAACACAAATTCTGTTACTGTCCAAGTATATTAAGATATGGTGAAGCTTGTTTATGTGCATGTGAATGTGAATGCATACTTTTCCTCTAGTGAGTGATGTACCGTGTGTGTGTGTGTGTGTGTGTGAGAGAGAGAGAGAGAGAGAGAGAGAGAGAGAAAGAGAGAGAGAGAGAGAGAGACTGGGGCTTGATTCAGGATGTGGGCATTGTCCCTGAGATTCTTTTGATCAAAGTTAGCACTCTACCACTTGAGCCATAGCTCTACTTCCAGCTTTTTTGGTAGTTTTGTGAAGAGTCTTTTCTGTCCAGGGTGGCTTTGAACCATGATCCTCAGATCAGCCTCCTAAGTAGCTAGAATTACAGGCATGAGCCTACTGGTGGCTGGCTTTAATGGTTGAGGCTATTTTTACTTTTCATAAGTTTGTCATTCTAATGGTATGAACTCGCTGAATCTATGAGCATTTCACAGTGTGAGCTACTGAGAATGTCAGCTGGTATAATCCGATAGGCCAGATATTTACAGCAGGTAGTCCTTCCTGCTACATAAAAAGAATGTTGAAGCCTCACGAAATTTAAATGTTTAAGGTATTAAAGTGGGATTTGACAAGGTAATAAAAATGATTCTCATGGGAGAGAGTCTATACTATCAAAATGTTGATTCCTTGGTGATGAGGCAAATCTGTAACTCCATAACTCTGCTTCATCTCTTTGATGGAAACATCATTAGGAAGAAGCAGAGACGTTATCATTTGTGGTTCAGACACATTAGCAATGGGAATGCCAGAGGCAGAAAATGTGCAATTTCATGCTCATTAATTTCAGAGAGGATTTACAAATTAACCTGGCTAGAGATATTGTTCTTCAAAAAAAGGCCCACAACAGTGTAGTTACCACAGACTACTTCCACAAGATTGACCAGTCGTCTGGGGCCATTATAGTCCTCCTTGCATGCAAAGATCAGAGGTCAGAGTTTATGATAGAAACTCTTTTGGGTCCCAGAAAACTTACTGCAAGGAAAAGGTCTGCAGAGCAAGAGTTTAAGATGTGCTGTGGAAGATTTTTCTCTCATATCCCAGTCATGAGGCAAGATGTAATTTCATTTTCCTTTGTCTTTCACTAGCTAGAGAATAGTAAGTAGCTCGAAACCATAGCCTATCTTAACCAAAAAGTATGTATTGACTGATTAATACTCAATTCATTGGCTCTAGGTAATCCAACCTTCATTATATCAACTCCCATAATTCAGCTATTTTAGGACTCTTTAAAGATTTAAAGTAGATAGAGGGATGGCTGAATCCACTCAAAACCATACCATTGCGAAGTTTCATTTCCATTTCAGAAAATGGTTTTGGCGTTTACTGAAACCATTGGCATTCTACCAGCCTCTCTATAGATTACTGTTGCCACGGTCAGGTGAGACCTCAGGATGGGAATACTCCCACCACCTGTACAATTGCTTGTTGTTGTCGTATGAGTAGGGGAAAAGCTTTCCAAATGTTAATGTGCATATGCCTCACCAGGAGGTTTTGCTATACATAGTCTGAAGCAAAGAGTTAGGAAATAGAGAAGTAAGGGAGAAAAATAATGACATAGGCCAAGCCTATAATCACAGAAGCTGTATAGTTGGCATGCTTTTTGGCAGTAACATTTAATCCCTAAAGTGTATGTTAGCTTTTCATTTCTGCAACAAATACCTGAGAGAGACAGTTTTAAAGGAGGAAAGGTTTATTTTGGCTTACTGTTTTAGAGATTTCGGTGCATGAATTTTGGCCCCATTAGCTTGGGCAGAGCACCATGAGAAGTGAGATCCTGTTGTGCAGCAAAAACTAGCATCTCACAAAAGCCAGGAAGCAGAGTGAAAAAAGAATAGAAAGGGTGGAGACCAAGGTATACCCTTAAAAGTCAGAGACCTCAGTGTCTTACTTCCTTCAACCACACTCCATCTCCTATTTTTCCCCACTTCCCAACAATGCTATCATTTTATGAAGCCATGCAAGTATTAAAACATTGATTAGGTTAGAGTGTTTAGGATCTAATACATTTGACAAATGCCTATCCGCTGGCAATCATGCCTGTGAGACTCATGAGCCTTTGGGAACATACTTCGTAGTCAAGTCATAATAAGTGACTATGTGTTTATAACTAATGTAATCAAGGACATCCTGTCATTGTTAAGGAACCACAGTGCTTTTGTTTTTAAAATTGAGTTGTGAACTATTTGGGTGACTTTTTTAAAAAAAGCAATAGACCTGGTCCCTCTAAAAATATAAAAACCATCAGTGTCCCAATCATAAAACTACAAGGAAACTTGTGGAGATCACTTATGTCATGCAGATGTGAAACAAATCACAGAAAGGGAGAGGGGAAGTAAGTGGGTGGAAGAAGAAAAATCATTTCCTAATAAGAGGGAGACCATCATGGAGCAGCTGCCTCTGCCTCCTGCCATCCAGCTCAAGGCAAGCTCTGATTTAAACCTAAATTTGCTCATTGAGAAAAGAGGTAAACTAACTCATTCTTGGTATCAGTGCTAACAACTCAACATTCCAAAGCAACATTGCTGAAGCTTGTTTGGACCTACATCCTTCTGAATATGAAAGATCCAGAGGACATCTTTTGCTTAGCCCTAGAACCGTAGAGATATTTTAATAAGGAATGACAACTCAGTATTCAAGAGAGGGTAAAGGTAGGTAAATGTGGTCAAAGTACTTTGTGTACATGTGTGAAAATGGAACACTGAAGCTTGTTCAGATTGGCTTGGGAAGCAGGGATGCGAAGGTACACCAACATGACACTTCTTTGTACAATTAATTGATGCTAATAAATATTTGGTGGAGGGGTAAGAGTTCAAGAGGGGTGTGTGTGTGTGTGTGTGTGTGTGTGTGTGTGTGTGTGTGTGTGTGTGTGTGTGTGTGTGTGTGTGTGTGTCTATAGTAAGGTTTGAACCTGGCTTGTTTGCTGGCATTCTGACTTTTTACTGGATAATTGAAGAGGAAGTCTCTTGAACTTTTCAGCCCAGGCTAGCTTGAATCCATAATCCTCTAGGTCTCAGTTTTCTGAAGAGGGAAGATAACAAATGTAAGCCACCAGCACCAAGCTACACATAATTTTAATAAGAAGAGAAAGATGTCAAGTTCTATTGTCAAAATCATTTGGCAGTTATTCTTCAGGAAATTTTTCTTAAATTTTAGAATGTATCAGCAAATAGCAAGGCAGCTAATTGAGCTAGAGAGCAGGAGTCCAAGAGAAAGAAACACTTAGAATATATTCACGCTGGATTGAAATAAGATGTTCACAGGACTGAACTCAGAAAAGCTTACAATCCCCTAGCAAATTGAAGTAATTGAGCTGTTGGATTTTTATTGGAAAAATCTGAGTGGAGTCTTGTGGTGGGTCTTCTTTCCTCTTCCTATGGCTCTCTTTCACCAGTATCCTGAGTCCATGCTGGTTCTCTCCCTAAGGAGAAGCAAACACCATGTTCCGCTCTCAAAGCTATGAGGGAATAAGAATTCTGCAATCATCATTCCATTGGGAGTTTCATTATCTTTTATCCACTTCAGTTCTTAGTTTACACATAGTAGGCACTAAAATTTGTGGAAGTTAATTGAATTCAAGGGACACATTATCTCCTTCACAATCGATTTAGTTTGGTTCTTTTATAGAAAACAATTTCTTCTGAGTTTGTAATGACATTGTGGCATACCTATATCCCTGCTTCTGTGAAATGGTCATAATGTTTAACTGCACTGATGTATTTTCTTTCTAATCAAGAAGTTAAGGGATCTGCTAGCTTAACAGGTGCCTCAATTGTGCATAATTAGTTGCTAGGAGTTGTTTAGCGTGGACTGATTAGTCTCAGCCAAAAGATGTTTTTTCTTCAACAAAGCCCTGAAGAGGTCCAGAAATTCCTGAGCCATAGTCAAATCACGTTCCTCTGGGAAGCCTACACTCTGGGAATGGGAGAGATAAGAACCATACTAATTTTGTGTGTGTGTGTGTGTGTGTGTGTGTGTGTGTGTGTGTGTGTGTGTGTAAGTGCCAGTATTGGGGCTTGAACTCAGGGCTCCTCAATTGGTTTTTCTACTCAAAGCTGGAGCTCTAGTTTACGCTGCATTTCTACTTTCCCACTAGTTAATTGGAGATAAAGGCTCCTGAATTCTCCTGATTTGACTGGTATTTGATTGTGTTCCTTGGATCTCAGCCTCCTAAATAGCTAGGGTTACATGCATGAGCCACTAGTGCCCGGCTGAATGTTGTTTGATGCCAGGCAACCATGATAGGAAAACATGAAACAACTTGAGTCCTTTTCTCTCCCAGCTCCAGCATAGGATGTAGAATAAAGCTTTCCCACTTAAGTGCTTACTGATGACTTTGTAAGTTTACAAACAACAACTTCATATGAAATAATCAAAACAAATGGCCTCTGTTTGTCTCTCCTATTTTTGGCATTTGGGGTAGATGAGAGGGACAGATATCTTTCCACATCCTACACAGATCACAGCATTGTTCTTATACGTATGTGGCTGTTTAAGCCCTTACTGCAATTCCATCACCATGTCAATTCTCTGTGTTAACAGAAGGCATGTTTCTTGGTCTCATGGATGTCTCTATAAAAGGACCCAGTTCTTCCTGGCTATTACCAACACACAAACCCTATGTAAGTGGGAGGCCATCATATCTCACAGTGATTAGCTGTCAAAGTGCCATTAAGAAAAGCTGGCACTTCTGATACCCTGAGATGCCCTTTGTGCCCTCTTACAGCAGTAGATCACTAGCTCAACATCTGATACTTCCCTTTAGTGATTTGCAAGAGAGTTCCCTTGTTAGTATCCCTTCCATCAAAGTTAATGCTGAGAATCTGGTATGAACACCAGAATTCTTTTTGTCTAAACGACTGTTTTTAAAGATTATTTGATAATTCCATCTAAACTCTGAGTAAAAGTAAAATATATTTTAAAATCAACTTTATAAAGAAGCATATATTTAAACATACAGTATTAATAATAGTACAGTAACTAACAACAGATGGGAAATGATATGATTTTTAAAGGAATTGAATATAAACCTAGGAAAGGAAAAATGGCAGAAGGTAGGAAATAATAGTTCATATACTTCAGCTTGTTTATAATAAACGCTTTAGTTTGAAGAATTGAATACAACTTACTCATCCATCAGAACATATTGAATAAATACCTACTATGTTCCAGCTACTATACTAGACACCTTACCTACATGTCAGTTCCTTTCTTTAAATTACCCATTTGTATATCTTAAGGGAACTTCAGAGTCTATTTGGTGTTGCCCCCAAAGCAAAGGAAAAATACCTTAAAATTCAGTGACTTTCTTTTAGGGCCATATCTTAGAAGAATGACATTTCTTTAAATTTTTTATCTTTAAAAAAGTGTGGTAGTGGAAGGCTGGGCATGGTGCTATCTACCTACAGGCTTAGCACTTGGGAGGCTGAGGGACTGATCATGTGTTCCTATATACCTAGTTCTAAACCAGTCTCAGGAACATAGCAAGATTCTGTCTCAAAAAAGAAAAAAATGTAAGTGAAGCTGATCATATTGTTTTTATGTTACCATTTTGAAGTATTCTTTAGGCCAAAAAAAAAAGATGAAGAGGAAGGGAGAATGATATTTAGACACAGAAAAAGAGCTGCAATAACTGTTCCATACAGTTCTCCTGTAAGGTCTCTGCTGAGAAGGTCTGGTTGTATACTGATCTGATAAGTCACGTGTGAGACGGTGACCTCTGAAAATCTTGTCTATCCATGAGGAATAAGATCAAAAGGTACATGGGAATAAGAACACAATAAATTGAGTCTTGACTCACTTTTAATACTTATTCTTCTATATCTCTGTAGGCCTAAGTACCAATCACAAAATCAAAGAATAGATCATCTCTTATAAAATTATAGCAATCTGTCTTTAAATCTGCTTAAGGGACACACCAGCAGACCACGATAGCTGCTTGCATTGGTTTCCATGACTTTCTGGGAAGGACTAAAATAAACCCTGGACATTTTTGTCCTTTAGTATTCTATTGTTGAGCCATCAACTGCTGATGCATTCAAGGTCTTCTTCAATTTTTGTTTTTAAGGGTTGAAACAAGAATTGACTTATAGGGCTGACATCTTCTCTGTGATGCATAGCTTTTAAGAAAAAGCTCACAATGTCTCTTCTATGTTTAAGAAGATATTCTTTGGAAAACTTTTCTAAAAAATAAAGGTTAAATTATGCCATACTTCTCTATTGCTCTGCTCTCCTTGATGTGTGCTGTGTTATTGCATGTCTGCTCCGCTTCTGTTAAGAATTATTGCTCTTATTGTGATTGATTTCAGCAAACTATTCTTAGATAATACTGAACTTATTTCAGTCTGATCCTTTGACTAATACACCTTTTGGTCTCTAGGTGATTATTTACTTTCTTCTATGTTGGGAAGGACACTCTTGATGCAGAGGGTCATAGTGGATTTGGAGGATGGTGATAGAAATCCTGGCCAGGTAGCCATCTATAATTCAGTTTCAACCTTTTAAGGATGAGTGTAACTAGACAATCCTAACTCTAAAAGAGGAAAACTGTTTTCAAATATAAATGAGAGAACCATTTTATCAGCGTTGACTACTGTTAAGCAAACGATAAATTTCTAAAGATATATCTCCTTAAAATAAAGGGCAGGTAACCCAAACCTCCTGGGTAAGTCTCTTTTTGCTTGTTTAGAGGGAAAAAAAATCTCTGTACTTGATTTACGAAAGGTTGTAACCTTGACAAATTGAAAACTGAGGAAGGCTTTTACATATCCATGCTTCCAACTAAGAACCTGGTTGTTGCGACTTGTCTCACTTGGATCCCTGCTCTATAATCATGAATATGGTTTCTAAGTTGTGGGTAATGAAATGAAAAGTACTTTCAAAGTAATCTTGTGAAGAATCTCAAATTTTTACACTGTGCCAGTTTATTTTAATCAGTGCTATATAATGCGCAGCCTGATTATTACATTAACTCTGTGAGAAGAACACTCAATTACTCCTATGAGAATCGTGAGACTTTTCTCATGTACAACTTAGATTTTGGTTTGTGGTTTTTAATTGTACTCAAAATTATGTTTGCAAATAAGATAGTTGAAGACCTTAGAAACTGCTTCAAAAGCAACTATGATAATGTGATGTTGATTATTTTGGTATCTGAGAGTTGCTGGGGGTTTTTTCAGAGAATATAAAGAATTGTGTGACAAATGGAATGTAAGCATGAGACTTTTTTAAGTTAATTGCAGTTTACAGCAGTGTGAATCTTTTCTTTTTGCTATTGCTTATAAAGACCTTGTTCATTTTATGAAGAAATTATAAATCATTTCAAACAGAAGTACGTGTTAGAGCGTGTTAGAGAGGAAATGAATTCCTTGATATTGAAGCACATACTGCTTAGTGAGAGAATTAATGTTCTCAGTTCTCGGATGATAAAGCCTTATTGAGTTGAATCTTTGTTGTATTTAATAGTTTGCCATGTCTATAAGGTTTTTAGGTCTGTTAATAGTTTTCTGTTAAAACAAGATCAGCACTAACAAATATCTTATAGCATTGCCAAAGTGATGTTTGGGTCGTCTAGTATGACCAAATATGTGTGGTAATTGTTACATTATGTTTGCTCAAGCCATTTACATGCTGTTCTTGGAATATTACAGGTTGTTACTCCCAGAAATCTCTTACTATATACAAATACCACATCCAAATTAGGAAAAAGTGTTTCTTCCTATTTTAACCCTCATACTTGCCTTCCCAAATCACTGTTTCTGTAATCCAAGTCGGATGAAATCCTAAAGAAAAAAAATCACTTATAATTTGATGGACCCATTTCCTCTATGATCTTGTTACTTCGTGCCATCTCTCACTGAGCTCTGGGCCTCTGCCTTTTCAGTTGCACTTTGTATTGTTCTGCAGCTTATTTTCATCTCTTTCTAAATGAGGGCCAATCAGCTCATTGGAATGTATGTCTTCTTTTGCCAAACCATCTTTCCTTCCCTATTCTCAACCTACCTTCTCTGGTGTTACCTCTGAGTGACCCTCTCCTTTGGCTTTTCCCCAGATGCCAGTTCATACTCCCAAGAGAAACTAACTCTGCCTTTCTTTTCCTGCAATACTAATATTCTATCATCTGCTTATCTGAAATACTGCATTTCACTGCCTTTGTTCTTCTATCTGATTAATTATTCTTAGCGCTCACTCACCCATTTTATTTCCTCTTTGTCTTCCTTTTATACATATTCATTGATACTTATTTATCAATGAATGTAAGCAGGCAAGTAATTTGTGTACTATTATTTACACTTCTTGCCACTTTATAAATGTCTTCTCATCCATTATAGTTTTTTTTTGATCCTGACAACTCTAAGAATTAATGAGAACGTTATTTCTCTTATATAGGGGGAGAAACTGATTTTTCAGACTTGCCCCACAGCTCAGTTTAGGACTTAGGTCTACCAGCTCTTTCACTGTATCCCATCACCTCTCTCTGGCAGAAGGATTACAATCCATTAAAGATCTTCACTATGCTAGAAACTGGATGGAAATTAACCAAACCCTTCATTGTACCTTTGCAGATGAGAGTCCCTACACTAAATCCGCCAGCCAGACAAAGCCGCCTGATGGATCATTGGCTGTGAGGAGACAGAGCATTCCAGGTTAGACCTGACTGTTGGATTTTTCAGCTATTTTACTAACTTCTGAATCCTATTATCTGTTGATCCTAAATAATTCTCCCCTGATTACTAAAAATCATGCTATCTCCGAGAGCACAGACTGCTTTCTACACATTTGTTCAAACAATAGTTAAAAAATAAAAATAAAAACAGACTTCAGAAAAGCTTGGCAACTTGTGAGAATCCATCTTGTAACCCAACACAACAAAATCCTTTGTGAAAAGACTTGAATCACTTACTCTCACCTCTGTTTCCAGCGGGATAAACTTGCATGGCAGCATCTATTTATTTCCTGAGATACCCTGCAGAACAAAGGGGTTCAGAATTGCAGGAGCAGATCCTGCATGTGGAATGGAAATGTTCCCCTTTCTTCTCTTCTTCTTCAAACTTAGGTTTTCTTCCACTGTCCAGCTCTTGTAAAATTCGGGGACTTTCTTTCCTTAGGCAGATGTGATTCTGATGGTTATAATACAATGAATGGTGTCAGTGTTTTTCCCAACAAAATATTTGGAGAAATATCTTAAAATGTCTCCACTCCAAAACTTTAATCTCTTGAAGCTTTGAGTTTGCCAATAGCACTAAAGCATCTTAAGTTTTCAAATCAAGAGGGGAAGAAAATTCAGAATATTATTTGAGTTTGGTCTCAGCTACATGATTTATGAAAAATTCCCTTATGGAAGTAATGGTGCTTAAGAACAGGGTTAAAAGCACTAACATGTTTAAAGATTTATAAAATAAAATACGATGTTTGTGTAAGTAAAGCGAATACAGCCGAAGCTTGGATATGAAATTTTAGAGCTAGCCATTTCAGCAATTCAAAAGAACCAAATCGATGTCTTCTGAGTTAAAATGAATGAGTTGGCAAATCGGTCTAGTGAAGGTGAATTCTCCATTTGAAGATAAAGCAAGGTAAGTCCAGTTTATGAACATGAACTTTGTTCATGATTCTTATTTTTATAATAATTACATGTAGTTATTTTTACTCTTATTCTTAAAGCTTAGATTTATTCTGAACATACTTGGCTTAGGAACAGAATATGCAGATGTTGTCCATCCTTGTTTGGGTGCTTTGAATATTCTAAAGTAATTTGAATTCTGTAATTAGATGGCATTACGCGGTGCTGAGATTTCTTCTATTTCATCTTACAAAACATCATTCTTAGTGCTGGTCACGTTTAGGAAAACTCTTGCAGTCAGCTTTGGGCTGTGTTCTCTGCTTTCTCCTTGTCAGCAGTAAGCAAGTGCCCAGGGTTTGAAGGTCGAGAATGTCACTTGTCTATCAATGCCTCTTCATTTCTATATGCTAGCTAGTACTCTGCATCCCTCTGCTAGGAAGGCAAGAAACCCCTCACTTCCTCGTGTGAGAATAATCAAGCCCCCCTGCCTGCTCATTACTTATGTTTTCCTTTCAAGGGTTCTCTAGTGTTACATACTAAATTAGAGCACATAATAGAACACCAGGCTAAAGTCACGACATTGATTTTCAACTTACATATTAAGGGAACAAAGAGGATAACCATAATCCTTAGCTTACAATACACAAAAAATTCTTCATTGTAGAATTTTATGTTTTATTCTTCCATTTATCAGATTTTTAACGTTCCAAAAAATTAAATAAATGCCATGGATTGTTTAAATGGCCAGAGAAAACAAATGTCTTCAAGGTCTTCTCAATTATTTAAAACAGCTCAAGGAAAAGACTGTACCCACCAGAGGGCTAAGAAACTACAGTGGTTAATAGTGGATTGTTATTTAATATTTTCTTAAAGGGAAAATTAACACACTTCTTAGGAACTGCTTCTTGACTGATTTACTGACTCTTAAATTACTGACTCTTTACCACCTTACTGAAAAGTACCTAAAAAATGCATGTGCTGACTAAAGTAAAGGCGTGCTCCCAGAACCCTGACTAAGAAGTCACTTACAACAAAGAAAAATCGAATCCAGAAGTCACGACCCGTTTCCTACCATGCCGCTCTCCACTCCTCCAAAGCCCATGATAAGAGGGAGAAATGCAGAGGAAATGGGCCCATAAATATATGCTCTCTATGGTTTGCTGGAGTTTGGGCTAAAAAAACCCTAAACTAGTCTGATAGACAGCATTGAACCACATAGAGCTGGAAGAACCATATACAGGTGAATGGCTTTTGTCTCATTCTGCTGTGGTCACCTCTCAATCTTACTTGCCCCTATGGGAGCATGTATAAGTGGATTTAGAGAGAAGAGTACCAAAGTAAAGAAGGCCTAAAGAAAAGCCTGACCCATCCACCCTTTCCTGATGTACAGAGGTTATCTTCCAAACTAGATCGGGGCAATTAAAATGCCCCAGCTATTGAAAAGCAAGCCCTCAACGCCCTACTCACAGTGATTCAAAATGGCAATTTTCCCTTTCTTGTCCTACTAATGCTTGCTTTGGGAGATGGGGAGGGATCATACGGAAGGAAGAACATAGGTAGCAAGGGTTTCTTACACTTGTGTATCCAAATGTTATGACAATGTAAGTTGGTCTTTAAAACTTATTTTACAAATATAGATCCGGTGCTTCCTGAAGCAAATATTTATATAGATATACATAGATTTAAAATAAATGTTAACATGGGCTCCATTATTTCTAGGGTATAATAAACAGTAACTTTTAGCAATTATATACCAACAAGGTAACCTTGAATATTAACAGAAATATAAATTTGTTCTTTGTTCATATAAAATCCAATACCATTATCTAAACTCAGAATTATTGTAGCAATTATTTTATAATAAATCTCAAACTAAATGTGTACCTTTTGTTGAATGCCAGTTCCAATCATAAATCTTTTCATCTCCCTCCTTTTCTTTTCCAAAAGAAAGGAAGATGGATTAAATATGTCTTAGGAGAAAAGTACATTTGCTTTGGATAAAGGAAAAATGAATTATTAATGCTATTTGGAAATTTGTCATTTTAATCATGTCTATTATGGCATAAAATGTTTAAAAAATTCTTTTCATCTACCATAAACTTTTGGAAATTTTTCATTGACAATAGTAAAAAAAATGACATACATTTCTCTGATACTGGAGTTTAAGTTAGAGACTTCATATTCTCTTAAAAGTATTAAGAATGGGCTGGGAAGGTGGCTCAGTGGTAGAGCACTTGCCTTGCATTCATGAGGCCCTGGGTTCAATTCCTCAGCACCACATAAGCAGAAAAAAATAATAAATATCTCAAATGATGAAATATTTATAAAAAAGTATTAAGAATGCATTTTCAATGTTATTTCTGTGCATTTTTCATAGACAAATTGCACATAAAAATGTAGTTTGAACTACTGTATATAAACTTTATTTTTTTTAGTTTGATCTAATGCTTTTTTTGTACATTTTTATTGTAAAATTTAACAGATTATTAGTAATTTGATTACTAAGGTAGCCAGACATGGGTTTTACAGATTTTATAATAAATTCTTGTTTTTCCTTCTCAGAAATGTAATATTTAATCATGTCTCTAGTGTTTTTGTGTTAGAGTCCAATGTCTCTTAGAGTTAGCATATATTGATGTGACTTGCCTCCTCTTTCTGTACAAGATATCTTTCTTTGCTTATGTTTGCCATGACAAACAATTTGGGGCCATTGACAAATACTGGAAGATAGGAAGTGCTCATAATTAGTATGTTTTCAAACCTTGCTGTACCAGGAAAATTATCTGTATCCAGACTAAAGTCACAAAAAATGTGTAGGAAAGATTTCCCTTCTTGTAATATTAGAAATGACATTTTCAGTTTGGTCATAATAGAGTGAGTTTGAGCTGAGTTTTTCTCGATTGTCATATCTAGATATGGGGGGAAGTAATTTTAAAAAATGAAGCTGACAGTTTGAAATGCCTAGTAACCTAAGCTGTTATAGTCAACCTGTTAGAATACATGCAGGAATCGTCAATATCTATTGGAAAATTAAAGCCTGGAAAAAAAATTCCATGTCATGACATCACAGAAAACTGGCAACCTTACATTAAAGGAAGAGGATAAGAATTTTGGACATTCTGCCCTCCCTTTGTGTTCTGCATTTTCCTGTCACTATTCTATACACAGTCTAATGCTTCAATGAGCTACATTTTCTGTATTAGAGCAGATATCTACTATGAGTTTTACACTAGGATTTTATAGCTATTCCAATATTCAGGCCTATGATGAGAATGTTCCCTGATTTGATAGACAGATTCTACTTCAGCACTCTACTTGAGCCTCTTGGGGCAGGGGGAGGAGGAAGGAATATCCCAGATGGAAAACGAAATATTAGACTTACTGCATAGGGTGCTCAAGCTATTAAGTCAGGACATGTCCAGGATCAGGAAATATCAAACTTCTGCAACAAGTACTTCTGCTTCATAGTCATACTTGCCTGCATTCCTATGAGGAGCCCAATCGGGCAAAATGTGGATCACCATAAGCAAGAGGAAAATCACTGCCAAAAATGTTTGCAGGTGTTACAGCTACAGTGTTTAAGAAAGGAGCTATATTATCTTAGTTCTTTAGCAAGACATTTGTAAGATCATAAAGTCAAGATTATTGGTGGCACAGCGAAAGTATCTACAGTTCTTCCACTCCTCTTTTTTCCTGTGGTGCTTATCACCATCTGAAATTAACTCATAAACACATAGTCATTTTCTTTCCTAGTCCTTAGATAAACTACATGAAGGCAGGTATTGTGTATATCTTGTTCACTATTTTAGCTCCAGTGCATAGAATAGTGTTTAGCAATTGTTAGGTGTTCAATCAATGCTTGTAGAATGAATGAAAAACAAAGACCATCAGACAGTTTTCTCTGGAAAGAGTATGTGGGCTTGTGGCCAATAAACTACCTAGACAAAAGCACCACACAGTCTCTGTCTACCACATGTTTTCTGACTGTGGTAAATTGCAGTCTATGTTCACATTGACCTTGAGGCTGCACCAAATGTGATATTTCTAAGGAATTTGTCTGCTGCCCCAAACTAATGAATGAAATAT